ATCCGGAAAAAAAATATAGATTAACGTGTTCGGCCATAGAACGATGAAAATTTCGCATCCCGTCCGCTCTGCGGTAAACAAGTATCGTATCGTCCGCCTAGTACTACAGTGGGTGACCATGTGGGAATCCCGGATGCTGAACCTTTTTTGTCCTTGGCCCTTATTTATTATTCCTGCCTCGGGATCTTGGCAGGCCTGCGGTAGTCAATGACATTTGAGGTTAGGGGTGATGGGCGAGGAAGAAATTGTCTGAATTTTGGGTAGTCCTATTGGCGTACAGTAGGAAGAAGAGGAACAAGAAGAAAAATCCCCGAAACCTCAGTCTCCTATCATACCATTGTTGGTGAGGTGGTGCCCCGCTAGATATGTAACGAGAATTCCGAGCAATATCCAGATCTTACACCCCTCACCCCAGGATCTCCCACTAGAGAACCAAGAAAAAACACCCAACCAATGTTTGTTGCCAGCCAATATCAATCTAAGAAATCATTGCTGATGTATTGATCAAGCTGACCCAGACGGCAGGAGCCATCGCAAACAATGAACCAGCAGAAATAAATTAAAAGAGAACAAAAAAAACACAGAACATACAGTGCCTTGGTAGCAGTGAGATTAAACACGCCGATAAAGTTATCCCCCAACGATTAGGTGCAATAACTAGTTAACCGAGCGAGAGCGGGTGATTAGGGAGTAATTTGGTTCCAGATGAGCTCAGCGAAGGACTATGGAGGGAGATGGCAGAGCAGCAGTGATGGCCATCGAGCCGTGGCAAGGGAAGGAAAGAGAACCAGATTCCGAACCGGATACGAAAACGAAGTGGAAATAAGGGGAAGGGGAGAGAAAGTAAAGTAGGCACGGGGGAGGAAAAATCTAGGTAGTTGGGTGGGCGTATATCTTCACCCTGCTTAGATGTTTGTTTTCAAGAGGCGGCCATGGCGATTCACTTGGTATGATACTCACCTAGACGATCGTACTGTCTCTGTGGAGATTACGGTCTTCACGATAAGGTCACTTGTTGGAATTTTAGGGTAGCTGGTCAATTATTTGATAACACCACAAGCAATCATATTGCGAAAATGCGTAAAGATCATGTATAATACAAAACCTGCATTACCGTTAGCAAAAAAAGAAAAGAAAAAACTCTCCATTCGCCACCTCTGGACATATGATACTTGAAAACACCCCTCCATCCTCTGCAGACACAGCAAGATACTATGCACTACGTGAACCGAAATGAAATAAAAAGAAGAGTGAGAAAACTAAGTAGCAACGATCCCACAAGATACAAAAACCACCAATCCCCTAGCTCACTCAAGCAACCCCCCCCTCAAAAAAAACAACCCCCCCACCAGGAACTATGATATAAAAAAGTAAAAATAGCAAAAATAAAAATAAAAAAATAAAACAGCAGAAACCGGCGAAACAACATCGAAACTGCCACCCAAGTATGACATGATAAAGAACAACATGTCCAACCCTGCCCCCTAACCAAACTTCTCCGAGCGAATGACCTTGCACAAGGAATGCTCGATATCCGAATACCACAGCCCCTGAGGCCTGAACAGGCGCTCCCCACCCTGGGCCTGAAGCTGGGTATTCAGATAGCATTTCACTCCGGCGTAAACATTTTCCAGAAATTTCTCCACTTCGTCCACATCCGCAAATTCATGCCCCTCCAGGTCCTTCACGAACCCGCGCCAGGCACCCCTCCCGCCCTTCCCCTCTGTCAGAATTGTCCAGAGCCTGGCTGCGAGATCCTTCGCGGTGGGCGGTTCGACGAGCCCCGATTCGGCGAAATCGCACACCAAAAGCCAACTCAGCAGAGTCCCCTTGGTGTAATAGGGTATTTTTTCTGCTTGTATGACCTCGAGCATTGCTGCGAAAGTTGGCATGACGTTCTGGAGGGACACATATTTCGCTATTACTGGGCCCTTTGCGAAGAATATGGAAATGTAATTGCCTACATTGCTCGGATTGAAGCGAATGCTCCCGTATGCCGGTACAGTGTTGATTCCAGCCCCGGTGTTATTCTTATAGACATCACGTGCCGTAAGTACCTCACTGGTAGTTGTGGCACTGCCTAGTACGTCTATGAGTCCCGGGTGACCAAAGCCGAAAAGGCGAGAAACCATCCAACGACTGAAGAAGAGAGGACATGGAGGGTAAGGGGGTGGCAGAAGGGCTCTACCTATGGCATTGTAGCTTGGCCCTTTTGTACGCATGGATATGAACTTGTCCTGTAGAAGATAAGATTTACTAGCCATCTCTACGTAAGGCTTTGAAGTAGCCGGAATCAGAGGGAGGTGTTGAGGATCATTAACAAGCAAAATGGTGTGATGAGAATGGATAATCGTAGCAACGATATTTTCAACAGTTTTGTGATGAGAGGGGATATCCCGAGCGAGAGAACTCGAACTCAATGATTGGGTAGGTACACTTAACGCCCTATCATGAGGGTTGTTACATAGGGTTAAGGAGGGGAAAACGGAATTGCTCTGTGCTGTTTCCCCTGTCAGCAGGGTAGGAGCTTGGCCAGGGATAGAGAAAGTATCGTCCGCGGTAATTGAAGGTAAGGGTTCCTGAGAAGCTCCGTGACTTTTTTCCCTTGCCGCAGGGTTAAACTTATCAGTAGTAGCAGGAGTAAAAGTCGATTCACACCCCTCCGTATCGGTAGTAGTGGTAGCAGTCTGCTCCAACCGCTCACCCACCTCCTTCAAGTTATTGCGAGCCTTCTTCTGTATAGAGCCTCTACTGGTAGAGGTGGGCTTTGAATTGCCGGAAGTCTGTTTTTTCACCATCTGCTTCCTAGCAGACTTTACGGGTACTGTTTCGCTCGCAGATCTGCAGATAGTTGACGTCTCGTAGGAACGTTTGTTCCCATTAATTCTCGAAGACCTTCTACAAGATAGACTCAACGCAAGCAAATAGTCTTCTTGAATTTGAGAAGCGATAGCAGAGTTATTCTGCGCGGTCGACATATCAGTATTGATGTACTTTTCGTGTTTCTTATGGTTAACCTGGTGTGGATGAGTTGGGGAGGAGGATGATAACAGAGGGGTAGCGCGGTTGAGAAAAATTACTTGGAAGAAAATTCCGTATGTGAAAGGGAAGCAAGTATGGAAATGTCTTGTGAGTAGGAGTTATTCTGGCTGGTTCTTGGGGAATGAAAGGGTGAGGTGTAGAGGGTGATGGTTCCAGATGAGTGGAGGAAGGGGGAGAGGAACGAAAGAAGAGCAGATGAAAGAACGAACACAGATACACCTCAGAATTGCGTGGACATGTTCATAACATGTTCATAGAATTAATCAATCCTCATATAATTATTCCCCTAGCATGCGTGTGAGTGTGTGCATGGCCACGTGTGCTGGAAGTAACGTTCGGGCATCAGACGAGAACTTGATCTTGGGCTTGAAGTTTCGCACGCGGTTTGCAGGTGCCTGGTGTCACCGCGGCCTATCTTGAGTGATGTGCTTGAAAAATATTGTGAGCCCAATACTTCCCCTGTCCAAGCCTAGATTTTAAAATTCAATGTTGAATGCTATGATATCATATTTTCCCCCAGGAAGGTACCAAGACCTCCCTAGGGTGCCCCAAGGGCCCTCTCCCTAACATATACAATATAATTTGTTTTGAAATTAGACATCTTGTAGAATACCACTACTATTTTTGGTGTCACATTGGACACTTTGAAGCCAAGGCCGAGTGACCACCAGTGAACTCTCACTGAGAAATTGGTAAACAATACTTATTGAGCTCACATTGGTCTCTTAGCTGCAGTAGAGAAGCTCAGAGCGTGATAGTGCAATACTAAACTGAGTGTCCAAACCTTCAGCACTAGTTCCAATGCCTCTCTGCCTCTTGCGCCGCCTTCAATTCGCGACGACAGGAAGAATCTCGTCTCTTACTACAACACTGCTAGATCTGCCACGCCAGACTAAATGAGTAACAAAGCTGCTAACAAGATGTTATTGATCTTTTTACGAATTAAACCACACTACCACGCAGCCAAAAACTAAATCAGTGCCCAATTGGGCAATGTACGATTAAAAGAAAACTCAAAGATGAGCCACGCAAAAATGCGTGAAAGCTACAAATCACAGCTGCTGACAACATCGAACAGTTCAAGTAGACACGATAGTCCAACCTGCAAAGAACCCAACAGCAGCGAAATAGAGCTTTTGTATTCTTCATAGCTTATCTGCGGGGCTTTCACTTTTTCACTTGATATCTAGATTGACTCTGTCTGAGTATATCGCTTACCACTGGTCGTATTGCGCACAATGATTCCCCTCCACTAGTAACTAGGAGAGTTCAGTTGTAGTGCCTTCATCAGAGCATCCTGAGAAATAATCAGCAAGGCGCAATTTATGATATTACCGAAGCCCAAATTCTCAAGATGCCTAATCCTAAAAAAACTATTCGTTAGGAGCTCAAGTTTGCGCTTCTGAGAACCCGAATCAGCCCCATAAGTTACCACTCGAGTTATCTTAAGATATTATGAACTCTTGAGTGCGCTTTTCCTCCTAGCCCCACCTCGCGTCCCACCATATGGCACCAAACGGACAACAAAACTGCACATGAGTCCTCCAGAGGAAGTTCACGGTCTCTAGGCTGTGTAATACAGTACCGTAGGGTGAACCCTATACACATGTCATCTCGCACTCGCAATCACGATAGTAACATTATTTCCTTGCTGCAGGAAAGAGAAAGAAGAAAAAATCTCAGCACTGGTATGATATATAATCTCCAAGGTTCGCCTTTTTCACAATCGACGATCTTAGAACTAAGCAATGTCCCCTCCGCGAATGGTTAGGCTTTGTCTTCTGCTGTCGAAAATCGAGTGCGATCGCCAAGCACTACCCAACAGCCGCACTGCGAATCCAAGTGGTCTGCCAAGACAAGCCTAAATCCTTGCCTTATCCTTGGCATCTGTGTTAAAAAACCGCGCACCGCCAAACATTCTCCTTTGCTCTTTTGTTCTTCCATTTCATCCTCATCAACATCGCCTCATCGCCACCAACACCCTCACCTGCTGCAGCAAAATAGGAAGAATATTAAAAGCTTAGGAAGGAGGAAGAGGGAAAGAGGGAATCTGCTTTTAGTTCTATTCCATTCTATTCGGGTGCTTGAAAATTCATCGCCGAAACCACCGTCCTATCAATACTCTGACTCGAACAACCCACTCTCTTCCCCCATCCACCCCCCTAAGAAGAGCACATAGAATTTTCTCTTCTCCAACTCTCTGGGTAGCTGCGTTTGTATCATATTTTGGACTTCTCAACCAATCCTCTGACGCGGCAAAGGTCCCCCAAAATTACCCATCATTCCATTCAACCTTTTGTTGCGTAGAAGAATACACCCCCATCCCCTTCGAAGCGAAGCAAAATGGCGTACAGTGACGATACCGTCCTGTCTAAACTCAGCGCTCTAAATGAGACTCAGGAGGGTATAGTGACCGCAGCAAACTGGATTTTATTCCACAGGTATGGAATACGAATATCCATCTGTCCATCCATCCATCCATCTATCTATATAAGAAATGGAAGGGGGGGAATAAAGAAATAAGAGAGGGCAGCTAATCGGGACTTTTTCTGCAACAGACGCATGGCCAAGAGAACCGCCGAGCTATGGTTACAGAGGATGAAGGAATCCACAAGCCATAAGAAGCTCAATTTGATCTATCTTGCAAATGGTGAGAAGTCACAGCCCCGATAGGGTTCATCTTTCCTAACACTGCGGGATATAAATTTCTAACCTGATCGCGAGTCTTAGAGGTGGTTCAACAATCCAAGGCCAGAAAGAGACAAGACTTTCTCACAGCATTCTCACCGGTATAATATATTTCTATTGGCATATCCCACGATCATTTCACTTACTAACAGGTGCCCTAGATCATCGCGGAAGCGACTGAAGTGGCGTACAGGAATTCTACCCCGGACATCCAGAATAAGATTCGACGCGTGATGGAGGTGTGGAGGCAACGCGTCATTTTCGAGCCAGATGTACAAAGTAGTATCGAACAACGTCTCGATGGTATTGATCCCACTTGTGTACCTCTTTTCCCCTTTTCTTATCTTTCAAATCCAGAACATGCACTAACAACTTTAAAGATGTCGACAAAGGGAAGAGCAATGCCAGCTCTGGCGCAACCGGTCGCAAACCACTCTTGGGAGGAGCCTTTGGAGGTTCTTTTGGAGGGGGCGGTGCCTCAAGCGCCCCATTGGAATTTACCCCTATTCTCAACAGTCACAAAGGTCTCATGTTAAAGAACTCCTCAGTCACAATCGCAGTCAGTAGCGCCAACTCCGAATACCAAAAGCAATTCGACTCCGACACCCTCCCAGTAGCTCCGGTCTACGCTGCTCGTCTCTCTTCTCTTCTCAAGACCCTCGACTCTGCCCACATCGCCGTCAAGGGTGCCATTGAAGCGCGCGAGACCCACATCCGCAACCTTGAGCGCCTACTCTCACAAAGCAAGACGGCTCTCGAGAACGACAAGAACACACTCAAGGACATAGTCACCAAGCATCAAAGGACCGAGACCACAAAACAAGAAGTTGAAATGATGATTCTGAAGGGTATGGACGAACCGCAGAATAACCAAACCAACGGTGGTGGGGGAGGATCGGCGGGGCCCTCAGCCGTACATGATGCTGCCTCACCAAAGTCTCCTGAGGTTGAAGCGCTTACCCCTCCTGGACAGCCGGCTTACGATAATCCGATGTCGTCTGCTCAGGCATCAGTCCTTCCTCCTCAATTTCACCAGGGTGCTTCTGAATTGCTTGCCAGTCTGGCTGCTCCGCTCGCTGGAGTCAAGAGGGAGAATAGAGATGAACCGGAGGTCTTCGAGGGATTGGACGATGATGTTGCTGATATGTTCCGGAATGAACAGATGGGTAGTCCCGCTAAACGGTCTAAGATCGAAGAGGACGATGAATACCACCCATAATATAGCCAAACTCACTCCACCCCAATTCATACAGGATGCGAGGAACGGTGGGTGACGGAGCTGAACCCTACTCAACACTCCACTTTATAGTTCATTTCATTTTTCATTTCACCTTTTCTCGCCTTCTTACTTTTATCCTCTATTCTCAAGACGAAAAACCTTCATGCTTCATTTCTTGTACCATTCCCATGAAACTACGATATTATGCTTTTTCCCCTTATTTATTTACTCATAGATGCCTGCGGTTGCCACACGTTCGCAGTCAGAACTCCGGCGGATTTGATTTGCTATCCTGCTAAGTCTTAAGAAAATTTTATATTTTCGAGTGATTATCTGTGAATTCAGTGCTGATACCATAGACACAACCCCCATCAGAGCTCTGTTTAAAATAGCGTCCTATTCTCTGTTCTTGTTTCGCATCGTTCCCCTACTACATGTTTGTGAACTATCTAAGTTATCCATATCCGGGATACACCCCCGGAACTACCCAGACTAAAAGAACTCAAAAGATCTCCAACGGGAGGCTCCCCTATTTACTACGAATGGTTAGTGTTTCATATGAATCCGGGGTATGTCGATGTGATGTAACTTAAGTGCGAAATTTTTGAGCAACCTAGATTTATTGGCTTTTTATGCGCTTCCATAATATTATTAGATAAAATCATAGTTGCGTCATACACTACTACGAAATAGAGCCCAGCAGGCATGTCCGGCTTGCATCGTGACCCCCAGATTCATCTTCCTTAGCTTAATTACAATCATCTACGGGTATACAATCTTTACATTGAGGGACTCATGTTTAAGCACGGGGACTCACCACATGGATTCAACGTTTGAATCCTAAACTTCATTCGCACATGAATGGAGTAGCGTGTGGACTATATAATAATTATGTCAAAATAAGTTAGTCACCCCTTCATCGCCTGAACAATCGTGACCGAGATCTGAGTCTTTAAGGAGTGTGATAAACTTCTTGATCGTATCGTATCGTAGGTTTTTCCGTCACGCAATTTTGCCCTGGGGTTAAATACCCTAGTGCTAGTGGAATGCTCTTGGCCGTGACACTTGTAGCTGATTCGTGCTATAGTCTATTGAAGTTGAGCAAACTATGAAGGAGAACCGATCGGTATCCTTTATCAAGGTTCTCGAAAGTATCATACTTGTAAGGGAAGCTGCCCCTCCATCCAGGCACTGATAGAGCATGGGGACAACAGCCCCGCCCCTACCGTGTATTCTCAGTTATTCTCACATGGCCATTTTGACATTCCGCCTATCTGCACCACTGGATTTGTCACGCCTCAGGATGCTGATCGCCCCCTGCTTGGCACGCTACTTTATGGCATAAAAGTTGGGTTTATATAGCACAGGTTTGGCAGATTAGGGTTTTTATATGGGGCGTGTTCGGTGTGTGTGTGTGGAGATACTATTATGATATATATTCACCTCTGCGATATAATTGCATTGAGAAAAATATTGTCAATCCAATATATGGATTTAGGGCTTGGAACAAAATGAACTCTTTACAATTTTTTTACGATGATACACCAGAAGAACCGAGTCTTGATAGATGCATATTCTAACAGAAACTAGAATGATTCTATAATATAACTTGTAACTGCTCTTACTTACTCAATTACCGCACTTTCTTTGCCGAAAGCCAAGATCTCTTTTATTTTTTAACCATACTCAAGTGTGATATATGCATGACAAGGACGATCAAGTAACACTTTTCATGACTCATATATTTATGTATGTCACCAGTTGTCCAAATGAACACCTAACCTATATTATCTCAAATATTTATTGAGATAAATACCACTTTCAACTTTTATTGCAATATATTTTATTGTGACACCGGGCAGGGCTTAAAGTACTCGAGTATTATAACATCTATGATACTCATATCCAAACGAGAGCCTCTGAGCGAGTATTTACCCTCGGACTCAAAGATCTCACTCAGCCTTGTGCAGGCTGAGCTTCTCTTCGAGGGCACGAACCCATGGCAAGGGAAGCAGCAAGATTCAGGCTATCACACAACTACCGATTTGTCGCTGGCACCTTTCGCCCGAAGTACCTATACTATTCGAGCGCACTTTTACCGTCACACCTTTCTTTTAGAATGGATTGCCCCCTACCCCCAGAAGGGGAGACCCACCCCTCTTGCACTTAATAGTAGCGTTCAGCTTGTCCTAATATACGCACTATTGTGTTTCGGGGTCTCTATCTTGATGCTCAGGAAAATCCATGATAGCACGTGCCATTTCCGGCCGATCCCTGCCGTAGAACGTTCTGAATTTTACTGAGCGAAGTCTGACCGTGGCACAAGCACGGGAAAGGAGCAGCAGGATCCGCAAGGACGGGTCGTTTGGAAGTCGGTATCTTCGTCAGAATTTGATATCACACATGGGTTAACATGAATTGGAGTTTGTTTTAGCCAACCTTTCTATGGAGCTGACTATGGGGTGTAATACCTTTATTTAAAAACCTTAATGCGAATAGTCCTACTAGAGTTCACCCCTAACTCACATTCGTTTGACCAGATTACCACGAAAATACGGTACTCGAGTAGAGAAACATACCTGCGCTGGTATGATACTTGTGCAGATATGTGGTTGCTGAAATCTTGTGACTTTGGTCCAATTAGACCAATCCAGGGTTACAATTGTAGATTGCGGCTTAGCGCGCATTGGACAGCTTATCGACCTCGTGGGGAAGAGGCGACTTGGCGTTAGGCGCTGCGTTGCAGGGCTGAGGATTACGCAGAGTCGTGCTCATTTGGCTGCTCCCCGCTTAAACCAATAACTTGAGGTCTTGGCGTGTTGCTACATAAAGCGCGGTCCCCTCTCCCTCTCCTCGTCAACCTCAACCTTTTCTCAATCCTCAACCAGAACATACTCTTCTTCTACCTATTTACTCTAACAGAGCTCTATCGACCGTCAGCTCGAGCTCCGATATCATTGCTCTGACTTGCAGCATGGATCCTTCCGCCCCTGATCCACCCCTTGAGCCGCCTAGTTCACCAAAGTCGACAGAATATGCGCTTTCCTCCGCCGAGGTAAAGCAAGAACCAGTCGCTTGTATCTTTTGCCTGAACGATCTCCTTCGGGGTGCACCTTCGGCAGGTGTCGATGAGGATGTTGCTCGCTTGAACCCTTGCAATCATACAATGCATAACGAATGCCTTCAACTATGGCTGGAGAGAGCAAATAGTTGTCCTCTTTGCCGTACCAACTTTCACGAAGTTAGCGTCTCAAAAACTCTGGATAGTGAGTTATCTAAATTTCCTATGTTTGATCGATCAAAGTTTGCTAACCGTTAACTCTCGAAATAGGCGAAGTCACCCGAGCATATAATGTTGAGGACAAGATACAAGTCGCAGACGATATCCAACCGCATTTCATCCGACCAGTTCTTGATCTCGCCCTCTTGCATGCCGCCCGAGAGCACGATGCTGCGGCAGGCCATTTCGAAACTTTTCACGCCCAATGTAGCCACTGTTATCTAGACGATCGTGGAGAAACTGTTTTATGCCCCCTCTGTGCTAGGTTCTACCATGTCGACTGTCTAGAACCCCGACGACCTGCCAACGTTTTGATCTGTCGGCGTTGTGCCTTGCGAGAACGAAGGGCCGTAATGAATAACGGCAACTCCTTTGAGGACAATCCTCTTCGGACGGGATCGCTTTCTAGGTTTCAACGTGCGAGGTTGGTAGCTCGAGAACAACTTGCTTGGGAATCTGCTTGGGAGCGTCTTGAAGCCGAACATAGTCCATGGGATGACGATGAAGATGACGATGACGACACAGAGAATCAAATCGTTTCAATTCTTACCCGAACTAATAGGAGACGAGCAGTTGCTGCAGCCCAGACAGGAGGATTGAGCACTTTTGTCGAACCGGTGGCCTGGACGGAGCCAGTTAGGAGGACCAGAACCGCATGGCCGCAAGAGCCGAAGGTTATCACCGAAGAAGAGAAAGAGCTATGGGATACTTTTGAATTGGCTCTAAAGGAGTCCCAGGGCAGAGGGACACACGGGGACCGGAGTCCCCAGGATGATCCTTGCACAGAACCATCGAAGAAGAGGGACGGAGAATCTAGTTCTGGTCCCGGTAGGAGCTCAGAAGAACAACGTGAAGAGGAAGTACGGCGAAAACGCCCACGCACTAGACGCGATTCACAATTGTTGGTCAATACCGGCGATGGCCCAATTTTAAAGAGTCACACAGCGCATACGACTCCAGTTGCCATGTTCCCAAACATCCGCCAGCCCCCCGCCAGCGAAGGCCCAGAATCCTCACCAAGCGCCTATTCACAAGTCATGTCTTACATCGGAAAAGGCTTGGAGTATTCCCCTCCGGGCGCTGCGGCCCTCGTCGGCGGTGTGGGACCGGGTGCAGTGCCGCCGGATTTCTCTGCGGCACCTAGTCCAGGCCGCCGGTTAGCTTCTCCAGAAATCGCTACATCGCTGTCTCCGTTTGTTGTCGGCTCACCACCCATGAGTTGTCCTGGTTCCCCAATTGCAGAGGCCCCAATTAGGAGAAGTTCCGGGAAAGTTTCCTCTCCAACGCGTCGAACACCTGCATCTCCGACCCAACCAATTTTCTCTCGCCCTTGGGAGAGACCTCCTCGTCCCGCCTCATCCTCACACAAACGACCCTATCAGGCTCCATCACCGCCATCGGGGAGTGACTCCAGCGGTAACGAGGATCAACAGAATTCACGCAAGAGGAGGTCTATCAACTGTCTAACTCCCGAGGCTAAGCAGGACCTTGCAAGCGTGGTCACATCAATCTTGCAACCAATGTACCCGACAATGATTTCGAAGCAGGAGTTTACGGAGATCAATAAGAAAGTTTCCAGACAACTGTATTCAATCTTCAACAACGAAAATTTTGGATTAGATGATAAGGAGAGGTGGAAAAAGGTTGCGCAGGAGCATGTTTCGATTGCGCTGAAGCATCTCTCCGTCTAGTTGTTTTCTCCTTTCTTAGATATCGGGAGTATTCTCCGCATTATTCTGAGTCGGCGGGATGATCTTTCTTTTCATTAGTTTTTTGCCAATTGGGTTTAAATCGGTTGGGGACGGCTGGGAGAGTGGGGGTTATCATTTTTACGGCGCAGATGGGATGGGTTATGGGGGAACATAACGTAGTCGTTATTTCCCTAAATATGTCTTTACTTTTCTTTCTCTCTCTTTTCTTCTCTCTCCTTCTCTTTTCTTTTCTTTCCCTTTCTTTCTCTCCTCTATTTTCTCATCTACTTCTCTCCTCTCCCTTCCCCTTTCGGGGATTCCTCTATTCTATCTCCATCTACCCTCAATCCCCTACTCCCCCCTTCATGTATATACTCTTTGGTTCTCCCTACGCCCTCCGCGCCAGATCGCCAACGACAATTGCGGCACGGAGAAAATCACATGCCATCGAGACCGGACTAACTGTCATTACTCATCCACTTCCCCCAAGCATTGGTATACCTTTTTTTCTGGTTATATGGCAATAGCATGGCTAACAAGTATCATCTAACACCTCAACAGTAGTAGGAGCCCCGTCTGTTTCGACATAGCCATGTTTTGATTTTATTATAATCAACCTTGCGTGTGCATACCCTCTCCCGGAAA